TTCTTTTTTTTTTTTTTTGCACAAAAATCATAGGGTTTCGCCGCCTGATCCATGAATTCATTGATCGTGGTCTCAATATGCCTAACACAGCAAGTTCTAGAATAATCAACCCATGTTTGACAGATAATTATGTGAAAATCAATTATGGATCTTGCCTATTCCTCGATTAAAATCATGAGGTACCATATGCAGCCAAGAAAGATTCAGTTAGTCATGCTTGCATCCTATCTTATCTATTCAGCCTAAGCACATGATTCTTGATAAGTTGAAATCATTCAAGGATAAGCTTCCAGGGAGCAGAAATTTCAAGAAGGTAAGGTATCCCAAATTTCCATCAGATTTTCCTAATCCTCCCCCCCCCACACTTAAGTTATACATTGTCCCCAATGTATGTGATTATGCATAAAGTAGAAGGATTTGGGGGTACTTCCCTGTTCGCTTTTTGAGGTTCCTGCTAAACACAAAAATCAAAACCAAACAAAATAACAAAGTTAACTAAACATAATGGGTTGCCTCCTAAAAGCGCAATTGTTTAACGTCGTTATGCTCGACGTCCTCCTTTTGCTCCTTTAATCCAATGAATACCGAGGAATGTTCAATGAGATGTCTACCGAGGAGGACACATTTGCATCATCGTGGAACAACTTCAATCGATGCCCATTCACCTTGAAGATCTTACCTGTGTCGAGACTTTTGATCTCTACTGCACCATAGGGAAAAAGATTAGTCACAGTAAACGGACCCATCCACCTGGAACGCAGCTTACATGGCATGAGTTGAAGTCGAGAATTATACAATAAGACCTTTTTTCCAATTTTAAATTGTTTTCTTAAGAGTACATTGTCATGGAACAATTTGGTCTTTTCTTTGTAGATTCTTGAATTCTCGTATGCCTCTAAACTCAACTCTTCCAGCTCTTGCAACTGGAGCTTCCTTTCCTTCCCTGCTTCTTCCATATTCATGTTGCATTGCTTGATTGCCCAATAGGCCCTATGTTCAATTTCCACCGGCAAGTGGCAAGATTTGCCAAAAATTAACCTGTAAGGGACATACCTATTGGGGTCTTGTAAACTGTCCGATATTCCCAGAGAGCTGTTAGACAGTTTTGTATGCCCTTAGCTTCAATTAGTATGATGTACTTTATGAGTTTATTGTGAATGAATAAAAGTGCATATTTGATTCATGTTCCCTTGGTATGTTTTTGTGTAATACCCTTAAACTGGATAGTTAATGAGACTCGTGTTAGTTTAGAATGTTCACAGCCAGTGGGTTAGTTTAGAATGTTCAGTTGGGGTGGCTTGTCTCAGCTGCCAGGGTGAGACCCTAGGCACATACAGTGTAGGATTGATTGAATCTTTGAACTGGACCAGATTTCCAGTATT